CTCGGTGTGCCATCACTAGAAACTCGTTTTGACCTTTTGACTTGTTGCATTAACATCTCACACTTCTACTATTCTATCTCCTATTTATCGATATCTCCAAAATCGCACGCTTTAACCCGATTCTTTCATTGCGTCGCCTGATACGTAGCCGCCCCAAGGCGGACTTCTTTCCATGCCCCGCCTTTGGCTCCGCGCCGCTTACCTTCGATTGTTTGTCAGTAGAGTCCTCGACGTTCATAGAGTGTGGTTTTTGTAAGTTTGTTTCTCTTCGGAAACTGAATCTTTGTGCGTGAAACTTTGTTGTTGTCTCTAGTGATCACAACTGACATATGCGTGTTGGGAAAGAATGCAAGATTTTTCCCGAAAGGATTCGCTTAGCATGTTGTACAAGGCTTTGAAAAAGTGGAAGTGGTCAATATAGAACTGTTTTTTTTTGAGATAGTTTCCTTGGATAGAGCAGAAAATGCGTTTTCTAAAAATATGCAAAATATAACAGTAGGCTGTGAATTCAATCAGAATTGATGCACTGATATCTGAACTGTCGGAAAAGGCAAGAGCTCTCCTTACAACCTAAAAAATCAAGTGCAGGGGTAGCTGTAAAAGTGACACTTCGCTTCATATTCAACAGCATTGAACATACATCGCTAAATCCAAACCACATGCTCTCAACTGACGATTGAAGAGTACACTCCATCCATCAATAAACCTCAATGACTAATAGCTTCCTGCACCGACTGCATCAGTAGAATTTGCCATGGAAACCCCGAACCACGGTTCGAGCTCATCGTGGTCCTCGGCAGTTTGTGAACCATCCCGCCATTGTCTGAAACGCTGGTCGGAGGGTTCTGCACAGTAAGAACTATTGCCTCTATTAAGCTATCGATCGGTGAACTTATTGAAGGACTGCATCAGCTACAGGTTGAAGCGATTACGATAGGGGTTCTTGAACTCGGCGTGCATCTGCGTATGATGGGAGAAGTATGTAGCTCTATCGATCACGGCAACCTGTGCGAGTTGAAGCTTGCTAATATTCGTCATGAGCGAAGTGTCGCATTTTTGGCCATCTCTGTATACTTTCCATTGCTCAACAGCAATTTTGGAGGAATTTTCAAGGCGGAGTTGTAGCGTGTCAGGTGTAGCCAGGTTCGTGTTGACATCGCTGGTCAAAGGAAATTTAGTTTAGTTTAGTTTATTACATGCTCCTTAGAACATGTTATAATATCAATGATAAAAATACACAAAACTCAACTACACACAACTGAAATCACTAACTATGAGTGGCGCAAAAAAATGCAGTGTTACAAACGAACATTTAGAACAGAAATAGACACAACTAAAAACAGCATGGAAGTTACTAACAACTAGCTGAGATTGGAGAGGTTAGAATGGTGACGAGGAGAGATGGAACTGTGGTTGGGAGATTTCGAGTCCTAAAGAAGATGCTTTGATGAGAGCGCGCGATGCTGGGCCTTAGTTTGAAAGCTTTGAGCAAAGAACTGTCGCCCGAGTGCAGACTTAACCGGTCTAAGGCAAAGTTTGTTGTGAATCCCCCTTGTAGTAGACGGCATAAAGGAGAACATATCTGTGACATCAATGGACATTGAGCCATGTATAATTTTATGCACAGTAATTAAATCATTAAATAATCGTCTTTTCTCAAGAGAATCCAGATTCAACATTTTGCTCCTAACAGAAGCTCGTGGAATACTTTTATAAGTGTAACCAAGCGCTCTTATAAATACCTTCCTCGTGAAGCTGTTTTGAACCCGTTCAATACTGGCGAATAAGCTTTCTTCTTTATAGTGGATAGAAAATCACAACGTTCCGATCTCAGCCATAGGGTTCGTAAAGTACAGCTGACAGGGCTTCTATTAAAATGAGAAGGATTTACTTTTTAACATAATTGAGGAAGAAGAAAAGCCTGTTCCTTGCGGCTTTTCGACATCCAAATAATTAAGACAATAGAGAGTCTCGGAAGCTAAGGGTATTCTTTAAACCAGTGAAGATCCTCGCGAAGGTTCCCTAATTTCAGAATTCTGTTCAAGTGGCGATGAAGTGAGGCCAGAGATGTGATAATTATTTTTAACATTATTTTTGCCCTAAGTGCAATACCTTAGTTTTTTTAGCGAAATTGGGAGACCCCAAGTTTCAGACCAACTGTACACAGCATCTACTGCCCTCTGAATCGACAGATAATCATCAGGGGACTTGACTTCCTTATAAACTTTAATATCGTCAGCAAACATCATACACTTAGCACCATGGGGCCTCTACTAGAGAGGGAAGATCGAACGCGAAGATATTAAACAAAATAGGCGACAAAACCCCACCTTGGGGCACCCCACTACTAGCAGATCTGACTGATGAAAAGGAATCATTAACCCGCACTTGGAATGTGCGATCAACTAAGAAGGCTTTAATCCAGCGTACAATTGTGGGATGCACGCCCACCTGTTCGAGTTTGGCTACTAACTTGGCATGACACACCTTATCAAACGCTTTGGAGAAATCAAAGGAGATGATGTACACGCACAATTTGTTATATCAATGGGCAGTCATACAATGCATTAAGCTTGAGGCATCAAGTTGAACATCTTGATAGAATGTTAAGGATCGTCCTTTTCGCAATCCGACTGGTTGACAATGTCAGGCAAAATACTACCATTTTCAAGATGGTTAACAATGGCCGTTTTCAAAGTTTTTTCGAATAGTCTGCAGAAGACCGAGGTTATACTTATCGGCCTGTAATTTCCGGGGTTATTCAATGCCTTCTTTTTGGGAAAAGTGCGAAGTCTAAGCTATTGTTTCGATCTCATAGGATTTTCAGCATTTAAAGACAGCGTTCGTAATTATAGAAAATTTAAAGGACGAACAATGTAGGTGCAACATTTTTAATGAACGAAAGAGGGATGCCATCTGGCGTAAAGGAAACACTTGAAGGCCACTTAAGGAGACAATTCAAAATGTCATCACTTACAAAAAGCACAGATTCCCTCATACAATCAAAAGATCTCGGCAGGCTAGTTACAGGACATGCACTACTGTGACTTATGTATACTAATGTAGTACTTTTTTGAGAAAGGTCTTCGTCCTGGGACAAAAGTTTCAGCCTTATCAACATCAGTGATTGCAAGAGAACCATCACTTTTGACAAGTGTACATATTTTTCTCTCCGAACGGATTCTTGCTCGAATATAGTTAAGAAGATAGGATTTGTTGCATGACTCAACTATTTTTTTTTCTACTGCACAATTGTATTTGAAGAGTCTCTTCTCAAACTTTGTAGACATTTCTTGATACCCCTTCCAATCCTGCTCGTTATTACTTCTCATGGCTTTTTTATAAGCTATGGTTTTGTTTACGAAAAGAGTATAGAGGTGCGCAGGTAAATTTTTGATGGATAGCGAGACTTTCCTAACCGGCACAAACAGTTGAATGCAATGATTTAGAACAAGTATTAACAACTCATACATCTCCATGGTTGTCTTTGCGAGCGAGCCGACGAAATTCCTAACCAATCAATAATTCGAGCGTGATAAGAAAAGAACTCAGTCATAGTTGGTGTTCCAGTGTAGTCTCTTTCGGAATACAGAGACTTTAGAATGCAGTTGGATAGGTAGCCGGTTGAAGGCTAAGTGGGAACTGGATTGATCGATCGGTGGCAGGCTGCCCAGAGGAGCACCGATCGCAATGTCACTCTTACTAGTAGCATGGTTTGCTTATTTGATGAAGAACTAAAGTCAAGCACATTTTTTAGTTTCCTGGTACAAAAGATCAATGATAGTGAAACCATAGGAGGTTGTGAAGTTTAGAGAGTGCATGTTCAAGAAGTATCATATATATGTTGTGAGTTATATGGTTCCGTTATAAGTAAAATGCTCGGGGCTGCAACGATCTCATAACCGTCAGCCACACTTTCGCTGAAAACGAGGGTAGGACAAAAAGACTGCTTAACCAAGAGAAGAACCCCACCACCTTTTTTCCTTTTTCTGTCGCATCTGAATAAATTGTAAAAAGAACAAAGCTCCCCTAAGAGAGACTGCACTGTAACCTTAGACTTCAGCCAAGTCTCACAAATAGCAACAATACCAACATCAAACCTCGACAAGAGGTACTAACCCAACGAGATGCTGGGAATCATCTGTCTGTAGTGAGCCAGGGAGGTATGTTGGAGAAGTCAAGGCGAAGAAAAACCCAGTGCGCGGAACGAACTAGTTGGTTTTTCCGAATAGCGAGAGAGGTTCTTTGAAGGGGGATGGAACTTTTGAGGACACGTGGAGGCGAATGGCCTGGCGGATGGAAGCATCAACGGCATGCAGAGGGACAACATTCGGATGGGGCGGAGCGTCATAACCAGTCTTGATCAATATGGCATCAAAGTTCTTTAGGATGTACGCAGGAATAGGTAGGCGAGCCTTTTCTTCTGCTCTGGGGGATATGCCGTGAGACTGCATCACTCTGCAGCTTGGGGACGAAGGTGGAGGTATTATTGAAACTCCCCCACTCTGATAAGTTTTCAGTCTTGGGGCTCTTTTCGAGGAGCACACGCCTAAAGAGTACCTACTTGGAGAACAACTTTGATGAGCCGGGGGGACTTTTCATTTGGCTTACCCATTCTATAGGACGTTATTGGAGTGCAATCGATAGAAAGGAAGTCAAACAATTTACGAATACATTCCGCATCATGAGCAATACGACTTGAGTGAAGAAGGGTCCTTAGACTCCTCAATTCCAATAACAACAACGGATCTTAGTCTCTCTCTTCTCCTCACAACAATGAAAAGGTAAACGCAAATCAGAACGAGCAAAAGATTTAGTAACAGGTGAATTCTCCCCTACTGTTGGCAAGAGATTGTTTCAAAAACTCCATTTCCTTCAAAAGTCGGTTTTTTTCGGCAACCTCAGCGCTGAGGGCGCTCCTCCCAATCCCTGTTTCGTTCCACCAGTTGATCGACAAAAGATACTTTTTCCAAAAGGTGACCAAGAATTGTTTTCAGGTGCGCCGGTAGTTTGTCGTCAGTGACAAGGAGGTTCACAGCATCAGAAAGGGCGCTCCCGTTCGTCCCCGGAGACTCGGTCCGGGTCCTCTTAACACCCTGAATCGACAGCGAAGAGCGAGGAGTAAACATCAGAAAAGAAAAAAATTTTCAACGTAAAATTCTCCCAATGCACCGTTTGTGGTGGCAATTCGAAAGGAATGTTGATCTCTGCCACTAAGATCAAACGCTGAGAACAATCGATAGAATTGAACGGTGGTGTACCGGAAGATCGATCGACAAAAACCGTGAAAACGACCTGTAGCGGTGGCTTTGGAGAAATAGGAGACTGACTAGAGTGACCCGCGCACAAGGCTTCAGGCCCTCAAACATTTGAGCTAGAGCGCAGCTATATCAGTACGGATGAACGAGAAAGCTCGATTGGAGACAGTTGTTAGGGGACGACGTTTCTCGGTATAATGGGTACAGAGTCTGCTCAAAGCGACCCATGGCGGCCGCGTCGAGTCAGGACACTGCGATTATCATCGACCGAGATTTATTTTTCAGACGGGAAAGCGTCGAGCTTTCGTTTATGTGTCTCAAAACTTTCAGAATCACCTTTATCTTTTTTATATCAAGCCTCAATAATATTCGTAAATAGAAACTACCCGCAAGTTTTCCCGAGAATTTGATGATTTGAGTCTGTATCAGGGCTTCGGGCAAGCCTTCACAGGATCGATGAAAACGCGGAAATCGATGTGAAGGTCTATCAACAAGATATCCTTGAAAGAGCTACGCTCTCCTGGAAGCAGAATCACAACAACTTCGTCTTTCTGCGGATTGGGCTCGGGCCCATGGACCAATATAAAGATCCGCTCCTTCGAGACCACTATCGGCTTTTGGCGATGGATTCGTGGTCTCGCAATCCAAATTCAGATCCAATAGACTTCTCTGTTTGGGCTTTTACTAAACAGCTTCTGAAGAATCGAACTGTAAAAGTTCGAAGACTGAAAAGAACTGTCTAAAATTCGGAATGAAATATGCGTTGAACACCTCCGCCGCACCATCGACTCGCTGAAGAAACAAATTGAGGCCTGTATCAAAACTGATGGCAGCTACTTCCAAATCTTTTTTGCAGTTATAAAATGTCATGGTTTGTTGTTTTACAAAATCAATCACTTCAAATTTTGTGTACAAGAAATAAAGTTTGAACGCGTTTTATGGCGCACGTATTTATTCGCCAGCCTGTAGGCCATTCAATTAGAGGTCACAGTTGAAAATGAGGCAGTTTTCTCAGAACAACATCAACCGAACAAAAAACATAATGAAATACATTGAATATTACCTAGAACCATAACTGTTTTATTGTGAGTGAGCGATTATCTTGAAATTAGCTATGTAACAAGTTGATGAGATTACAATTCTCAGAAAAATTAAGGAAATTAAGTTTGTTAGTGGTGTTACTATAATGTTATTTGTGGCCATTCAATGGTCCCACAACATTACTATGCTCAATAACAAGTATTAAGACTGAATAATAGTTCGCATTCTAACGTATGCCTACATCATCATCAGAAGAGGCCTTCGTGCGAGAGGAAGAATCTGGCGTAGCTAGAGTCTTGGAAGATGTCGAAGATATCGACTTGATGTCGATGCGAAGTGATCCTGACTCGGACTCGGGGTTGGCTACAACACAAATGTCGCCCGTCGAGAAGGCGGACTGGGCGCGACGCCTGCCTCCGGGATCTTCTTGCTCCTTCACAAAGCTTACAAATGCTTGATCGAGACTGTTTTGAGACACCTCAAAATATATACCAGGATGATTTGTCTGGTTCTTACAAATAGAAATTACAAAAAAGGAATAAAACCGAAAAATGAACGTACCGAAAACGACAGCACTAAGTCTCTAGCATGAAGAGAAGTGAAGTCGAAAAGTTTTGGAAGATCACATGGTGGTGGCAACTCGAAGTGCAGAATAGCACCATGAGTTTCCTGGAAATATTTATTTAGTATGCGTCTCAATCGTTTCTGCATTGCAACTGCGTTTCATGCATTTTGAGCGAGACCTCAGGTGTGACAAGCATTGGGTTGTCCCATAATTCCTAGCCAATTTTGATTCAAATTCAATTTCCTTCATTTCAAATAAGGTTATTATGAAATAAGTTGATATGTTGAAGGACACATTGGACCTCCAGCCAGGGTATTTCAGAAGCTCAAATGTGCAACGGGAGGTTGTCTCATAAGTAGTGTCGCTTTTTTGCCAAACGAAAAAGGTTTGTCTTTTAAACCCGTCTAAGTGTGGTTACACGCAGTTTATGGGTACGATGTCGATAAAGAGAAGTTCATGTCTCTGCTGCTCTACAAGATGTTGTTTTTCTTCTACCTCTGATCCAGGGTATAAAATTTTAGGCGTGGGAGGTACAGTCGACAACAATTGAGCAAACCGACAACTAGCCCTAAATTTATTCCCTGAGGGTTTTAAAATCCAGCAATTGATGGTGCCCTCACTTACTCGATGACCTCTTCTTATACAATCCGCTCGGTAGAGGCTTGCCACAAAGCCTTTGCTGGTGTTTCTTTTCGTATATTGTCGAGCGATGAAAAGATGAGAAAATCAACCAGGCGTACATTCCTAACTTAGTCATGACTTGTTCTTTAAATTCTACTAGTTTTTCAATGTCTCGGCTATAAAAAAATTTCGACCTAGATCTCAGGTAATGGTGCTCGACCGTCGAGTTCTGGTTGAAAAACCAGGTCTGGAAATGGAATGACGCGACTTGTTGGGAAACCTAATAGTGTATGGACACATTGGACCTCCAGCCAGGGTATTTCAGAAGCTCAAATGTGCAACGGGAGGTTGTCTCATAAGTAGTGTCGCTTTTTTCAAACAAAAAGTTTTCTTCTAAATCCTCAAGCTTTTACACAATGTTATGTACCATTCGAAAGAGAATTGTCTGCTCTACAAGATGTTGTTTTCTTCCACCTCTGTTCCAGGGTTTTCAAATTTTAGGTCTGCGAAATGGGAGGTCCAGCCGACAAAAATTGACCAAACCGACAACTAGCTCTAACTTTATTTTCCCTGGGAGAAATCAATCAATGATGTACCCTCTACTTACTCATGACCTCTTCTAAACATTCCACTCCTTAGGTTGCCGAAAAAGCTTTGCCGTGTTTCTTTTCGAATTGGCTGAGCGATAAAGATGAGCAAATCAACCAGGCGTGCATCGCTAACTTAGTCATGACTTGTTTTTTTTTATCGGGAATATACGAGTGTTGGGAAACCTAATAGTGTAATGTTCAGAAGAGGTCATGATAAGTAGAGGGTACATCATTGATTGATTTCTCCCAAGGGAAGATAAAGTTAGAGCTAGTTGTCGGTTTGGTCAATTTTTGTCGGCTGGACCTCCCATTTCGCAGGCCTAAAATTTGAAAACCCTGGAACAGAGGTGGAAGAAAACATAATCTTGTAGAGCAGACAATTCTCTTTCGAATGGTATATGAACGATGTAAAAGCATGGGGATTTAGATGAAAATTTTTTGGTTGAAAAAAAGCGACACTACTTATGAGACAACCTAATAAATGGCTGGAGTGACCAGTTGAGCATTCCTTATCAGCAGCTGGCTGTACATATCAGTCAATGTAGAATTATGTTATTGCTAGACTACAAAGTGAGGATCTGTTTTCCGACGCAAGGACACTTGTCCATGTAATCTGCTCCTAGAGAACGCATAATAAGGTTGTCTCATAATTCCTGTCTCATTTCTATTCAATTTCAAATTTCTTCCGTCTAAGACCGTTTCATTGCGAAATACGTTAGTATGTTGAAGTATGCTTCAAGAGCCTTAACAGCATGGTTTCGGAAAGCCCGTAACGGGTTAATCAACTAGGAATAAAAATAGGTCAGTGACTATAATGAATGATTATGCTTTACGATCCTCAAATGAACTCTGTAGCAAGGAGGACAACAGAGAAGACCAGCGCTGTGTTTGACCCAGTCTCTGCTACTGATAGGGTACTGAGCTAGTGGTCCAATCGCAACGGCAAAGACGAAACGAGCTATGAACTTCAACCTCATACTGGGCCTGCGGTCATTTTTGATGAGCGCCCCTTGCACCCTAAATTGGGAGTGCCTCCGCACGTTGCTACCAGGGTATTGTAGCAGATACCTGAGCGCAGCCGATGCACCAGCACACGCCATCAGTATGGCAAGGACTGCTGCAGAATGAAGTTTTGATGGAAACCTTATGGTCCGGCCGACCATGAGCGGGAAGCACGCCTGACCATCTGGGGAAAATCCATTCTGGGACGGCAAAAGCAGAGCCTTCCCTAATCGGTCACCAGTGGAAATGAGTCATGAGTCCACTGCGACAACAACATGCGGCACGTCTGATGGCTGCCTCGCAGCCAGGAAGCACCAGCTCAACCAAAGCCCGAACTCCGTTTTCTGAGAATATCGCTCTCGTTTTGTTGGATTCGCTAGGTGGCCTGGTTTGGGAACCACTTCAATGTATGAAGACAAGCATTGCTAAAGTCAGCGCGGAATAGCCCTCTAGGCTGGCTTCGGGGTTGCGAGGGAATCGTCAGAAACGTCTCAGATTCTCCTTTCTCCGAATGTACGCCAGACCTCACATTGCAATGCCAACTCACCACGTTCTGAGGGAGATAGCCAGGGCCACGATACCTCATCCACCATATAGCATCGCTCTATCGGACTATCGCCTCCCCTGCGCCCTGAATAAGCATCTGCCAGAGAAGAAAGTTAAAGATTGCGGTCACCCCAAAAACGACTTCTCCAAATTCTTCAACCCCTTATACGAAGTTATCGAATCCTATAAGCATCTGCCAGAGAAGAAAGTTAAAGATTGCGACCACCCCAAAAACGACTTCTCCAAATTCTTCAACCCCCAGCTTCCTTCATTCCGGGCTGGAAGCTTCAAACGCTCACTAGCAAATGCACGCATATCAGTGACCATGATGGTGGTTATGTTACTTGATCAGTTGTTTCCTAGAAGAGATAAAACTTGGATAAACAAAAGTGTCGAAATTGAGACAGGAATTATGAGAAAACCCAATACTATGGTGAGACGAGCGCCAGTTGTTTTTTCCTTGAGTGGGACCGGCTGTGATTTTGTCTAGCGCGGTCAATTCATTCCATATAAGCATGGAGTAGGGAAACCCAAAAAGTGGATGGCACGAAATAATCCGATTAATATGAGTCAAATATCTCCGGTTGCGAAGCCCTAAAGACAGCGGGACACTATGATCTGCTGAATGAGTTACCTCCTGAATACAGCACGGATGCTACTGCAACGACACAAACAGAGTGGCTTTATAGGAGCTCGAGAAATAAAATAGGTCAAAAGATGGCTTGGTTCAGAGAGAAGTTTGGAGCTGTAAAACGTTGCACGAAGCCTTCATGTACGCTTCTGCTGGAACCTTCGAAGACACACTACAGTAATCAAATGCCAAAACAACTGAAAAGCGTTTTGTTTTTCTCCTAAAGATATTTGTTCAAAGCGTTGCAGGACTTTTCTGGACAACCCAAAAGATTTGGATATTAGTACTGAATCAGGATAGTGATATACGAATGCATTCAAAAGCCGCGTTCATAGTTCGCGACTCGGGAGATTAGGATAGTAGGCGATAGGATATTAGGATAGTAGTAGAGTAGGAGATTGCGCTGACAAGATTGGATACGTATCGATTGAAATCGCTGGAGAGTAGTAGATTGGGCGACTTCAAGCGAATAGATCAATACATATCTAATCTTGTCAGCGCACTATCCTACTCTACTACTATCCTAATCTCCTATACTATCCTTTTCCTAATCTCCCTATACATTTCTTTTTCATTGTCGCGTACTATCCTAATCTCCGTAATCGCGAAATAACGCGGTCAAACGGTTTTGACACAGACGCTTCCTCGCAGAGATTTATGATAGTGCTTGAGCAGGTATGAATCCCCTATTCCATTTTCACTAGGTCCGTTGAAACGATAGACATAAATTCATGTGAGTAAGTAATTTTCCATGATCCTCTTCCCCAGATCGTATTGTCGCAATTGTAACCTATCCAATCGTTCCCGCAGATCCTTCTGCTTTCATGGTTTGCTGTTTGCCTATTCGCCTAGTTCTCTGATCGTCTGGTCAGATTTTCACCTCGAAGAGATTTCTGATACTTACCACAAGATAAGCATCAGGAAAAACTGTTCTGAAACGTTTTGCCACGACGATCTTCTCCGCATCATCTGTTGAGCGCAGACGTAAACGAATATTGTAGCCAGTACCGTATTGGTTTTTGATAAACAGAGGGGTCCCTGAAAGTAAGTCTTTTCTTGCCCTTATCCTTCCGATATAAACTAAATTTCTTACCTACACACTTTATGACTCCATTCACCATAATGGCCACTTTTCCACACAACGCCTCACTTTCGGCCATTGAGTGAGATGTTAGCACGACACATTTGCCTCCCTTCTTGAGTGAGTGAACCACCTGCAATTTGTTTCTAGGTGTCTGAAGTCTGAAAATGAGGAATACATTTCAGACAGGACGCTCACCACACACCAGGTCGTTACTCCATGAAGTGAGACTTATCGATACAAAGTCAAACGTAATCAGAACGATAACGAATGATAACACAAACAGACAAGCCCGTACGTGAACAAACACGGGACGCGCTAGAAACCTACTTCACTTTGTTACATGCTACTCGCATATATAAAGAAAAAGAAAATGACAAAAGTAGAGTTGAAACTTGTAATCGCGGCAAGCTCAATGCGAAGGCACAGTCAAGCGAACCGTCGAGGAAAATTGAAATACGACCCCCCCTTCCCTCTTCCCCAGAGGCCGAAGTCCATGAAACGACCCTCTTCAAAAGCCGAAAAGTTGTTTAATTCTCCCCCAAAACTGTTCATAAGAAAGCCCTGCTACCCCACCGTCAACCAAAAAATTGGTTCAAAGCCACGAGTCGGGATTAGGTCCCAAGAGCCAGTCCCTTCTAGAGTGAGGAAGAGGGGTCTCCAAGGGCAGTAGGCAGGACACTGTCGCGACTCAAAAGTTCGAGGCACCGGCGCTAAGACTTTGCATTGTGTGCTGCCGTGCTGCCAGCGTTATCAACCACGGCATACGTGGTCTCTGCGTCCTCTCGCGTACGACGTACTATCTCGCGTTCTCCCTCTCCTCGCAGCGCTGTGTCTCTCCGTCGTACCACGGCCGGCCTCCTAAGGGAAATTTAGTGTTTTCTATGGTGCTTTTTGCTTTTTCTCCTCACTAATGTTCCTCATTGCACCCCTTGCCTAATTTTGAACAAAATAATGCATCAATTTAATCCCGACTAGTGCCATTAAGAAGGTCAAAAGTGAAAGTCAAAGAATGGTCATTAACGATGAGTCCTACCAAACGAGCAAACGAGAAACAGGAGCAAAAAACGACAAACTAGTCACTAAAAATGGCATACTATGACAACATCTCTTCTTTATTTATTTCCTTCCACAAGACTTACCAAATTCTAGTACTACACAGAGTATGGTTCTCAATTTACACGTCCCCCTTTCGTTGAAAGAAGCCTTGTAACCGCCTTAGCCAGCTGTGTGTTGACTGATCTTTGGCGTTGACCGTGGAGCAGCTTATCTACTATTGAAATTTGAACAAATATTCAAATGATTATAACTTTCTTCAAATATGACGAATTTTCAATCTGAAAGCAGATTTGGGAGTTTTGTGAAGAGCTCTTTCTAATCAGTATTGAAATTACAAAAATTTATAAGAAATAACAAATTTAGATCAATTAACGAGGAAAATTCATGATGAGCACGAGTTTTTACACTTTCCGAAGCCATAACTTGCTTCATTTTCGTCAAATCTGAAAAGTTAATATGGCATACAAAACTAGAAGATTTTCTCTATATCAACTGAAGCAGCTTTATACGTCCTACTTAAAGCAACAATCCAGGAACGAATTCGCGGGTAAGGACCACCTATAATGACGTTGCAGGTGAGAAGTTGGTCAATGGAGATAGAAAAAGTAGAAAAAAACGTCGGGCAGGGGCTTAGACAGGGACTCCCCCGGCCGTTTAGGGAGATGTGTGTTGGACGAGTTGTCCGAACCTGCCCGTAGTACATGCGCTCCAGTTGACTGCTGGCAAATAGCCATGCATGCTTGCAAATACATAACTATTTGCCAGCAATCGAAATTGAAGCGCTTCAATTGGGTTCTTATGAAATCGACCTCATACAGCGCGGCGCGTTTGGGTTCGCGGTCCCGCAACGACCGCTAGTCGAGCAAGCGCTCTGCACAGCGAATGTTGGGCGATCCGCCTCTTTATGGGGGTGATCCCCTTCTCCAAGAGGACTTCGACGCCCTTCCAGCGCATTTTAGAGGTAGGTTTTGAAATTAAAGACATTTCCTATAAACTTTATTTGGCTGGCTGGGATTGGTTTTGACCGCTAATACAAGTATGTTGGTAAACGCGCTAGCCGTGGGTACTGGGCGTTGTTAAGGGTGGGGGGGGGTGGAGGTTGGTGTGAGGTGTGGTGTGCGGAGTTATTGGGGGGGGGGGGGGGGGGGGGGGGGGGGGGGGGGGGGGGGGGGGGGGCGGGGGGGGGGGGGGGGGGGGGGGGGGGGGGGGGGGGGGGGCTACGATTTTACGCTTTCCAAAGCCATAAATCCGTTAAAACCCATCCAATTCGGAAAGTTAATATGTCATCATAAACTAGAAGTTTGCTCTATTCAATTCATATCAATTGCCTAGAATTACCATACGTCCACTATTCAAAAAATGGCCACGTCGAGGGAGTTTTTGCCGGAGTAGCGGCGCGCGCCAGGGCACGTTTTTCGGCGCGGCGATATGCCACAATCACGATATAGCGCGTTTTCAGGGCCGATTTTTTGCAGAAAGTAGGAGCGAGGTTGGACTCGCTCGTGCGTGTCCTTTTACCGAAGTGGTAAAATGTGTTCTAGCGGTATTCTCAACCTTGAAAGGATACATGCTTATGATTTGACGGCATGAAGACTGGGGTCTAGTTCGGTAATATGTGCTGACGTCCTTCCGTGTATATTCACATAACCATTTAGAATTCGCTTAGATATTTCTTTAAAGGTTGAGATCCTCCTCCAGAAAAGCCCGCAGAGGGGCGGGAGGTGCGCGCACCGGAGTGGCTCACTCGTGGGGGATGCGCCGGTTGCTCTCACTTCTCCTTGCACGTTACGGGCTCACTCGAAAGATAAAGAAAATCCGCTTGCGAGCAATGCGGGGCCTATTTCGGATCATTCATTCTTCTTCTTAAGTCGGCTGAGTGAGAACAGCCAAATAAAGTAGGAGATTGCTAAGCGAACACTCGACACGAAAATTTATGGTCGGGAATATAAAAAATGTTTATTTTGAATAGATTATTGATGGTGATGAATACCTAGTAGCCTGGGCATCGACTGCAATCCTTGAGTTTGTCCTCGAGGCGGTGATATCCTTACGGCATCAATCCGGACGCCCAATCTCTTCCTCCAGCGGCCAATACGACCTTCCCCCCCTCCCCCCCCGCCCACCGCGCCCACAGCGCCCGCACACCCCCCCCCCCCATCTGTACGGATCGAGGATCCTCAGACGCACGCTGACTCCCGTGCGAAGGAGGTATTCGATGGTAGTGCAAGCGAAGCACTGCTGAGCCAACTAGCTCAATACTTCGCATCCATGAGTGCTTATCAGTCAGGTAATGGTGAAGGCCAGCCCCTACAAGAAATGGCTACGTTTCTTGATTTACAGCGATACGTTTGCTATTCTTAAAACGATGGTCGGAAGTGGCTGTAGCTGCAATATTGCGTTGTTACACTGTGCGGACGGTCCGCACGCATCCATAGGATTCGAATTGGGTCGTTGCGTCACCGGTCCAAAGCAGATTTCGTCCTATCCCTCCGTGTCGTTAATTTGTATCAGGGCTTTGTCTGGGGAGGGATAGAAATTTAGCTGATTTGTTTCAGCTACCCACGAATGTTTTTTAGTTTTAGCGGCAAGGTCTATCATTCAAACCAGCCAACGAGTCTTCTAGATTGGAATTAGTGGTAGAATGCGCCGCGGCATTCTAAGAGGAGTCATCACCGCAAATGCTTTATCCTTCATACTTCTTATCCTTAAAGTGATGCCGAATGTTCACTCCAGCACTGTCTTTTCATACCAGAGTGAACGTTCGGCATTCTTCTATTTTCCACAAGATGCTGGGTGGTGGGGTGAGTGGGTAGCTGGAGAGGCCAAAAAGGAGATGGGAGGCAGGATAAGAGAGATGAAGATCGTACTTGTCAAAGCCTGCCACAAGGGAAACGGAGAGACTTCCGGTGATGCCGGGGAGCTTGAAGGCACGCTCTGGGATTAAGTGCGCTTACCTGTTCCTTCCCCGTGGGCAGTAGACAGGCACAACCGTTGATTTCGCCCTCTTGCAGCTTGAAAAGTGCGCGACAAGGGCGCTAGAAGCTCGTTCGATCAGCTCTCACCTTGTCCGCAAGCCCCGCCTTCCGATGTCACAATCAGTTGCCACGTGACGCTGCTTGAAAAACGCGGGCGCACTTGAGGCAGCGGTGCATTGCGGCGTCACATTGGGTCATGGCACTGGAGCAACTGAAGCTAGGTTCGTGAAACTCGTCCAACACGCCCCTTCTTTATCCCAAGGTGGAATGTGGCTGAAATAGAAAGGTTCCTACGGGGGCGTAATCGGTGGTTTCGTTTGCTTTCCTTCTCTTTTCCAGACCACCTCCCACCTCTAGCTTCATAACGAACGCTTTTCCACACCTATTTTATCCCGAAGCTTGCCTTTCCTTGTACTGATGCTGCAACCCATGCCAATAGCGCCTAGCGAGCATTAGATTAACTACCTTTCAAAAGTCGTGATCTCGCCTTTCAAAAGGCACGCCTGTATTCATTTACCTTCTGCTTCCGAGAACTACGTGCGCGTCGAGCGGCGACCACATCAAGAATGACGCTGGCCTTCAAGTAAATTTGGAAATAGTGGTTCATAGTGATAGCTGAAGTTGTAATTAGTGACAACTGATAGAATACAACTGCAACCAGGCTAATCATTTCATTGGCAGAAACATTTACATTTTGTGGAGGCCGTCGTCACTTGTGTTGTGTGGTCTGCACTCGACGAGCACCTGGTTTTCGGAAGCAGAGAATTTGTAAGTAGCATTTATCAACAGTAAGTTCACAATTACTATCGACAAGGCCATCCCGTCTTCAATTGATGAAGCTGAAGTCCATGATAAGTCATATAAACGCACCTCCCAAAGAAACATGCGACTTTTCGGATCCATTCCGGTTGTAGGCTCGTCGAGCAGGAGGAGTGTAGGGTCGCCCACGAGAGCTTGGGCTATGGACAATTTACGCTTCAAAAAGAAACATCACAAAACTATAAATGCTGCCAGCCAGTTTGGAAGCTCACCTTTGTCCCACCACTGAGAGCACGTGCTTTAGTGTCCGCGTAGGGTGACAGATCAAGAGCTTCCATCAAGTATGTGGCCACCTGCAAACAGCAGCAGTTGAGCATGAGACACAACGGCACGAAGACACAGGAAGGTAACATGACTCACATCACGTAAAGACGAAGCTGTGTAACCGTGGAAGCCGGCTAAAATTTCCAAGTGTTCTCGCGGTGTAAAATCCATATAGAGTGCATCATATTGGGGACAGTAGCCGACACGAGCAAACGCATCGGCTCTAAAGGTGGATTTGAAGAAGGGAAAAAAGCGAGGCCTAAGAAAAAAAATTCATCTACCCAGGATACAGCAATTTGTCTTCCAAAAAGACGGCTCCACGATCGGCCCTTTGTTGACCACTTAGAACTCGAAACGTACTAGTCTTCCCGGCTCCATTCACACCTAAATTAGGAGTTACCAAATGGTTGAGCTACTTTTACGACACGATAAATCTTTGCTGAGCTAACTCACCTAGCAATCCCATGCATTCCCCTCTTCTGGCAGCCCAAGAAACGTTGCGAACGGCATGAATTGGCTTGGAGATAAATGAAGAACGGTGACACTAAAGGAACAAAAGCTATTGCTAAAAAGTCTTACAAGGGGAGGTCGTTCAGGTGTACCCGCGCTTTCTCAAAACGGTTTTTTGCATGATGTAGAGGGATGTGCGTGGAGTACAGAACTGTAGTCCATTTCCGCTAAATGGCCCTCTGAATGCCAAAAAAGGAGTGGCAAATGGTCCTTGGTTCGATTCCCGCGGTGACAAAATTTTTGCATTGTGATTTGACGCAACAAAATTGGCACCAAATACGTCAACACCAGGAATTGATGTCATATTATAATTAGGCTTGCAAAAAACCCTTAAAAGTAAGCGTATACCGAAAACTGGTGAGAGAAAGTTGTGACGCAAGAACGGCACCAACGTGCCGTCGAACAGCGTCATAGGGGCCCGAAATGATGTCGGAGCTGAAAATGAATGTCATATTCGTAATCAGGACACCTGATTACCCTTGTATTCGAAGTTTCCAAGAAAATCAAGATTTTGACCCAACTTCGAAAAATTGCTCCATGAAATAAGTAAACTCTGTAGCACGTCAGGCTCGGCGAACTTCTTGGAAATGACCTCCTCTAGATCCTCATCAAGGAATGAGAAATGTTCCTACCGAACAGAATAGTAGACACCCAAGCTGATGACGGTCGGGGAGAGGGGACACCGCAATGCAGTAGTTTTCTGCTAGTTCTCCACACGGAGCTTGCCCCCAAGCGACTGGAAATACTTGAAGAGTTACTTATGTCTGGTGGAAATTTTCGAAGTTAGGTCAAAGATGCGATTTTCCTCGAAACTTCGGCTATAGAGGTAAATCAGTGCGCTGGTTAAGAATATGGCATTGTTTTTTGGAGCCGCCGCTATCTGGCGCCATTTCGACGTTACAACTTTGTTTGCCTGCTTTCGGTGAAAACTTACCTCATCGGGGTTATTAACGGTTCTGATCATACATATATGGCGTTTATGCAACTTGGAGCCTCGAGATCGTGATCTGGAAGTGCCAACAAGAAACGCAAAAACTTGGCATCTCGTGGATCCCGAACCAGCAACCCAGTCCAACCGTGCCCAATTGAAGTCCATATCACTATCCACTACACCACCGACGCATCCGAATGCTGATTAGCCAAATGCACCCATGAAACTTCCACACGCTCTTCACTACATAGCATATCATCACTACGACAACTTCCCAATTTTGGCCAAATTTCGCGTTGCTTTGAAATTATTTTCACTCCTTTTTTGGCATTCAGAGAGCCATTTAGCGGAAATGGACTACAGTTCTGTAATCCACGCACATCCCTCTACATCATGCAAAAAACCGTTTTGAGAAAGCGCGGGTACACCTGAAAGACCTCCCTCGTTAGAGCCCCCACATAAGAAAATAGACCGAAACTATAAAATGTGTGAATGAGAAGCTGTTTTCAACAGTAATCAATGAGTGTTGCCACGTGCCGTTCTTAGAGAGCGATGGAGCGTTTAGAGTCAAAAGATTCTCGTCAGACTTATCAGAAGCTCATAACCCTAGAGCGACGGGTGGGGAGGGGAGAGGAAGAGGAGAGATACTCATGTACCTATACCGCTTGAGTTTTAAATGATTGATGTGAATGATTCATTCTCGGGACAAACTCGGGAAATGGTGAAAATCTAGTACGCATTATGGTGATCCTAAGCCAACTCTATAAACTTTTTGCTTTTTTCAAACAAGGCGGCTAGTTGAAGGCAAAAGACAATTCCCTCGCGGTATCCTTCCTACTAGTCGGGCCAATCTCGGGGTTTCCTATAATATGTGTGTGTCCGGGTGGGAGGAAAGACCACCGGTCAAAAGAACACCTCTCTTGACCGGTGGTCTTTCACCAAAGTCAATGAAGTCTGGCGGGCCGAAAACCACCAATTAGCAGCAGTCTCCACTCGGTGTGGCCCACGAGCGCCTGTTTTCAGACCAGCTTGCTCGGCACGAAGGAGAACCCCACTCTCGCGCCGCCACGGATGATTCTTGTTCCCAACTTCGATTTTCGCTGTTTCAGCTTTTTGTGTTTTCATAATAAACTGTTTGTTGCATATCCACCACATGTGAGCATTCACAATAGGGAAATAAAGCTTAAAAAATGTTCACCAAAACTTGTTATCTGATTCTGGTATCGCTCAAACGCTAGGAGTAAAGCAGAGATCATGAGCAGCTTCCGGAAGGAAAGTGGCTATACAGGTAGGAGCGCATCCCGCAAGTTAGGATGTGAACAAGATCAACCGTCGCGTCCGTAATTACTCGAAATTTCCAAGACTACCCACTTCCCTTCCGAAGAAGTCTCATACGCCCTTCCTGTTACAGATGCCACAGCTACACCGAATTTGCGGCGCACCTGTGCTCCCAATCATGGTCAACCGTCCGTTCGCACTATTCGAACGAGGGGGTCGCATTTTGGTCATGGGCCGAGGGAGGGGGTCGCAATTTCAAGGACCCGCAACCGAAATCGCGACGGTAGTTGGATGAAGGACTGGGGAGGAACGCTCACAAAGAACATGAAGTTGTCATAAACTCAAAATAATTATTCTTTCCAGGCTCGCCCGTTTCGTCCTGAAGTGTTTCTCCGCGTGAATTACTATACATCGTAAAAAAACTTTCTGTCTTCAGCAAAGCTTTTAGGAGAGCTCGCTTCGTCGCAGCCGCGTTGCGGCGTTAGTCTTGGAGCGCGGCAGGGAGTTCTCCGGCACCAGATGTAGGTGTAAATATGCTTTTCACTGCCTTTGCGTGGACAGCAGCTCAATTCGTGAGCTGCTGCCCATGCAAAGGCACTGGGTTTTAAGTTGATGTGTCCGCAAACTATTCAATTTCTCCTCCTGTTCTGTGACTGAGCTCAATCATGTGCTCAGGTGGCTGATCTATGATGTCTATAAAAATTTGAGAACATGAAAAAGATTTTTGAGTTCTGCAGCACTACTAGA